TATATATATATATATATATATATAATTATTGGTCCAATCATTTTGAATTACAATTTTAAAATCACTTTATTGTGAAGAGGTGACAAAATTATACCATCTCAATGTTAGTTATGGGTTATAAAAGAGCAAATTAAAAAGGTTTAAATTGACTCAATCTCTTAAAATGATGTTCCTAACAAAAAAAACTCATAGTTGGTTTTTGTTGATTAAGTCTGAATTCGACTATAATCAAATTGAATTAAAAATGAACTTTTGTTTAATTTAGATTCACAATTTAAAGTTTAAACTCTATATTTTATCAAATAGATTCAATCTATTTTGTCACCTCTATTATTATTATTATTACTATTATTATTATTATTATTATTATCTAACAATAATAGATTTCATGAATAGTAAAATGATTAACTTTTATAATAAATATTTAAAATTTATACTTAAAATAATTTCAAATTAATTAACAACTGCATACAAAAATTATAACACAAAATACAAAAATTAAAATCTTAGAATCGTTAATTTTTTCAAAGGGTGGCAATAGAAGTGATTTAACATTTATATTTTTAAATTAAAAGCCAAAATTTGATTTTTAATTTGAAAATAGAATTGCAACTAAAAACACTACTTTATTCGTAGACAAGTGTGCATAAAAAAGTTATATATTAATATTATTGTTAAAGTGGGTAACGGGACTTTTTTTGAAGGTCCCTTTCTAAGCTTATTTCAGGATATCAAAATAAGTTGGAGGGGGAAACTGAGAGAAAGGAATTACTTGGCTTCACCAACAAATCCACCATTTGTGAAGAGTTCTCTGTCCATGATTCTACAATTAACATGGGCTAAATTCTTGCAATCAAACAGTGATAATTCAAATATGAATTTCTCATTCCAACAAGGTTTCTCATGTTTCCCTGCATCACATTCATAAACTTAGTCACTATCAGTAGAATCAATGTGAAAAGTTCAAGTCTCATAAAAGGATAAATTATCACATCCAGAACCATTATGGTTCAGTCAATTTTTACGTGACACATAATTAAGTTATATTGATTCTTTCTAATAAATTAAAAAACTCAATTAATTAAGAGCATAATAATGTGAGGTGCTATACTATCTATAATAATTTCTCTTGATAGAAGCATGTAATTTAACCTGATGAAACTTTGCTTCTCTGAGTCTGAGTGCCACACTCAATAACCACATAATAGGAAGGTGTTCCTGTATTAATGGTTGGTTCCAATAAAATTAACGATAAAGAAATACTTTTACATGAGAATAATGTTTTGGATTCATTATTAATTGAAACGATATATTGAAATTAATTGGCATGGTAATTAAAGTGAAAATAAAGGAAAGATACCAACAAGGTTTGTGTGTCTAATGCCTTTAGCATTAACAATAAGTACTTCGAGAATTCCTGTCTTCATTTGTCTATATCTTTGTTTTTGATTAATTACGGGTCTTAAAGATGAAATTTCGTAGAACATATTTCAGATAATATACTATATATTATATATATGCTTATAGTAATTAAGAGGAATGAGACAGTTTCACTAGTTAACGTACATATTAAGTGAGGTTACGATGAAGTTAGTACATATCATAGCTTCGGGTTATTCCTTTAACCTGTTTCTACACCAAGTATATATGTTATTATTAATCCTTTTCAGTTTTAGTGACTCATAATTTATTGAATGAAACTTACCTTTATTTGAGATTATTGATTATTCATTTGCATAATAAGCATATTTAATCATAAATTAATGCAAATAATATAATAGGATTGCCAATTTTTTTATCAACAAATCATTGGTCTAAAAAAAACTAAATTTAGTTTCATTAAGCAACATTTTGAGTAAATATTTCATAATAATAATAGTTATAAACTTTTAATACTTATCTGATCATAAGTTCACTGGTATCATTAAAATCAATACATTTAAAATATTATCAATTTTGACATTCATTAATTTATTATAATATTATTTTGAAAAAGTTATTTAATGAGTTAAAGAGTCTCAACTCATAAACTATAAATTTATTTAGTTGTATCAAAACACTTTTGTCATATAAAACAAACTATAAATTTTAACAATATAGGGCATTAAAAGTTTAGAAATATATAATACTTTGTAGCTATAAAGTTGGATTAATGTAAATAAGACAGCAGTAGCAATAATGTAGCATAGTGTTTTGACTAGTCTTGACCACTTGCGTGTCTGAAATTGAAGTGTCACTATGAAGGCCTAACTCATAGGAATAGGTTAGTTCTTGGTAAACATGCCATGCCTACACATTAGTCTAACCGTTTTTTCGTGCAAGAAATAACACATCAGAAATTGCATTTATTGATACTTATGCATTCATAACCAAGTTGGTACAATTTCTTAAACAATCAAGAGTGATGGAAACAAATGAGGAAAAAAAATGTAATCAAATATATACTAGTATTCTTTTTAATGGTCACGTGAATATTAAGTTGGTCATTTTGTTTATATTTAATAAATAAGTATAATTCATTTTCATCACATCTATCTTTATAAGAATAAAGTAAAATATTCGATCATAACATTATATATACTCAAGTTGAAGATTGAATCATGATCTTTCATTATGAAGTGGTGTTGAACCACTTGTGGTAACAACACTTGGTAATTTATCATTTTCTTTCAACAAATTTGGAAATATGAACTGATGTGTTTTTTTTTTCATAATTTAAATTCAATAATTTATATTTTGGAAACTCTTGATGTCAAGCTTAAATACTTGTAAGTCAGTTTTAAATTTTTGAAGTGATAGTTGTTAACTTTATCTATCAAATTAGGCAAGAGTTTAACTTTTTATACATTATCTCTGAAAATTTTTACAATATAAATCAATAAAAAAAAAGTAAAAAAAAAAATTCACAGTGAAACCTGTGTGAAATCCTCCAATTTGATTTCACCTTCTTATGTCCAACTTAATACTCCCAGTTTATCCGCTGTCAATTGGAGGTCTTTGGGCTGCATGGGCTGCTGTATTGGACTTAGTTTCTTAAACATTGAGTTTTTTTTTTTTTTTCCTTTTAAGATGAGTTTTTTTCTCTCAATATTTTATTATAATTTCTTTTCATTGGGTAGGTCCTATAAAGATAAAGTAATATTTTTGGCCATGACTTCATACTCAAATTAGATATCAAATCTTGATTTTCAATTAAAGAACATAAATATTAAATCATTAACGAGTTTTGGTCCTTTAAGATGAGATCATAATTTGCATAATCAGATAAAATGTATTAAAGATTTTTTTTATGTCTATCATTAAGTCTTACAATTAAAAGTTTATAATTAGGTTTCTAACTTACGAATATTTTTAATTAGTTATTTTTACTAAATTTCCATCAAATACAAGGTCTTAGTTGGAAATTTAAAATGGTTTAAAAACTTACTAATTAATTAAAATAATTATTAAAAAAAATCAACTAAGTTGGTAGAATCCTAAGAAAACTTTAGAAAAACTCTAAAAAAAGTTATATAAATTTATGAACCCTATCACAAATATAAAGACTTTATTAATAATGTCTAAATCTCAAACATTTAATGACCTACATATTAGTTTAATTTGATGCAAACTGAGAATATATCATTACCTATGAATACATTTGAGTAAGTCTCAAATAAAGATGTTAAGATGTGAACTCATCTTCACCAGTCTCAACATAATGGTTGCATTGGGTACATTAGATTCGGATTTCCACATTAACTCGACTATACATGATTAGATGATAATTATATGAACAACAAATCAAAATCAATTTTATTCAATTTATAAGCATGATTAATGACCATATGCATTATATAGTAGCATGTATATATATTGACATGATTAGACAATTAAGTATTGAAATTGAAGCCCATGCTAATTTATTTATTTGAAAACCAAGTAGTAATAAGTAATAACAAAGAGAGTAATGTAAAAATTGAAAGAATTAAAATTACCTATTAAAATGAGTAGAGAGTAGAAAAAAGATAAAAAAAATGTATGTAAAATCTGAAAGAAAGAGAGAATGAGGTATAGAAAGGTAGAAAGTTAAATTGAATGTTGGAGGTGTAAAATTAAAAAAAAAAAATTAAAGATATTTTAAATTTTTTTTAAAAAATGAAATATACTTATAGAAAAAAGGTGTATATATCATGACAAAAAAAATAATCTTAAGTGGGCCTAATGGGTCCAATAATAAGACTTATATTTAGCCAAGTTTTTGGATTTTCCACCTTCATGCCACATTCCGGGCCATTTGTTGTATTTTCAACACAAAAATAAAATGCATAGATTGAAAGAGTAATACTCTCTCAATTTTATGATAAGTGTCGTTTAGGAGAAAAAAAAATCTCAAAATAAGTGTTATTTTAATTTTTAATATAATATTAATTATATTTTTTATTTACATTTCTAATAATTTTTTTTATAAAATTATTGTTATGTTGCATTATTTCTAATAAGAAGGATTAATAATAAGGTTAATTTACAAAATTGTTATTCTTTTTCATCTGTTAATGAAGTTATGTTATTTGCATAAAACAACTTAGAATGACCCTTATTAAAATTTGAAATCAATTAAAAACAAAAGCAAAAATAAATTCATTCCAATTCTTACTTACTCATCATCTATGTTAACAATCATTGACAATTTAGCTGTAGTGAAATTGTTCAAATTTAATAAAAATATTAAATTCAAGTTTTAGATATATATGTAGTTATGTTATCGAACAATTAGAAAGATAATTTTGTCACTCATAATTATTTCACCTGTCTTAAATATAATTGCCTTCAATAAAAGATGTGTATTTCTTTAATTTGATAAAAGGGTAAAACTCTCTGTAATAAGTCTTACCAAATCAGTTCTTATAAAAATAAAAATGTTACCTCTAACTACTATCAAATTTTAATCTCTAATTGAAAAACTACTCGGTAACACCATCGTAGAGTGAAAGATGTATATAATATTGAGAATGAAAAGAAAAAAAACACTACATCTATGGTAGAACATGACAGCCATGTGGGTTTCTCCGTGGGCTCCTCGTCCTGTGCGTTGCATCATCACAGAGGCACGTAGTCCTGTTCCCTTCACCATCTTTCCTGACACAATGTAATTAACATCAACGTCGATCATAACCTTTACTTTTCTTCTTTTTCTTTTTAATCCCCATACCTTTTGCATATATTATATATACAATGTACCTACGTTATTTCATCACTCTTATTTTTTGCTACTATAACGTAAAGCATTCATGTGGCATAAAATGTCGTTTGAGGATAAGATGACGTCCTCTCTAATAGTTTGAAAATTGGAATTTTGGATCTTGAAGGAGACTAGCGTGACTTATTTGGAAACTGAAAACACAATAGAAGCCAAAAATGAAAGGTCATTCGATTGACTTGAAGATCATAGTGGAGTTTCTTGATTCAAAATAATAAGAAGTTCGTTGATTCAAGGTATTAAATTTTTAACTAGGGTTTGTTCGTAACTCTCAAGAATCATTGAAGGTTTGTGTGGGTGAGGGTTGCTTTATATTTGAGTTTAACATGTGCTTTCTTTTGGGTTTTATTTAGTTTCAAATTGGGTTTTTGATGTTACCGTTGGTTTGTTGTATGGTTTGGGGTACAAAGATAAATGTCTGGATTTGTTATGGTATATGTTTTGCAATGACTTTGTTCTATCTTCAATGCTGAATATTTTGAATTTGTGGTCATTGTCCTTTCTCAAGTGCTCATGATTTTGATTTTACTCCTTTAATTTGAATGGTTAAAAATATATTTAAGCATAGTTTTAAAAACCGGATCGGTCATCGAACCGGTTAAGGTACTGAGTCAGTGGGTCAAAGGTTGAACCGGTGGGTCACTAGTTGAACCGCATGACTCGATTTTTATTAAAATATATTTATATTAAATATATTTTATACTTATAAATTTTAATAAATTCATATCTTATTTTAAATTTCAATTTTTCTATCTTATTTAAAATTATTTTTATTTTTATTTTGTAAAAAAATACATAAAAAAATTACATGTTAAACGGTATATTAATACAAATTAAAAATATAAATAATATGTACATATATAATATGCTTGCAATTAATATCACAAAATAATATATGTAATATTTACATAGATATTGCATTATTAAATATATAATTTAAAATTAATAATATACTATAAAAGTTATTTAAGTTGTATATATTGCAAACAAATATATTAGAACAAGTAGTCATTGTTATATTTAATAAGACTCCTTGCTTTTTCATTAAGAGATTCAATTTTCATTATTATTTTTGTGATTTATGGTCCCTTAAAAAAATTTAAAAAAATTAAAAAAAAAAAGAGTAGTTGAACCGATTTGACCCACCGGTTCACCGGTTGATCCGGAAAATTGACCGGTTCAATCCGGTTTGAAACGGGTCGATTGCATAACCGATCCAACTTCAGATTCGAACCGGCTGGACCACCGGTTCCCGGTCCAACCGGTCCGACCGGCCGGGTCGGTCCGGGTTTTAAAACACTGTATTTAAGTCTATTAAAATAAAATAAATATCACATGTCAATTCAAATATCATAATTATTATTTAAATCATTAATATAATATTTGAAAACTTTTTTTTTCCCGATATTTCGTTTATCCTAGTGCATCATATAGCATGTTCGTAAAATATATGTGTCCTGCCATTGAACATAAAGTACATATAGGCTCTCCTAAAAAAATACATTGGACCAAACTTTATTACAAGAGGCTATTACAAGAAAATGATGCAGTCGTAACCTCTTCTTCCTTATTCAGTGAAAATTTTTCAATTCCTACATCTCAAGAACCTGGGGCCAACCAACCAATTCGGATTATAATACATAAAGATCATGATACCCAACAAAACTTTTATATATATATATATATATAAAATAAAAAAATCTCAAACATAGGCCAGGGCAATAATGCTCAACAAATGAACATCGTCCACTAACAACAGGGCTAAAAATAAAATGTAAATTTATAGACATCTCTTTGTATTTCATTTCATGGCAAAACAAAAATTCAAAATTTGTTAAGATCGCCACCACTACTAAAGTCTAAATAAAGAAAAACATGCCTAAGCCAAATTCAAGCCATCATGTTGACATACAAACATGACCAAAGAAAACAATCAATTCCCACAATTTTAGTCTTCATCCATGCCTGCAGGTTGCTCTCTCCTTGGACCACCAGCTGGTTTTGACATAATAATCTGAAAAAAATTAATTAAAAATCAGTTTCCATAAACTTATGCTGAGAAAAATAGACAAAATTTGCATCCAATTTCACATAAGCGGTAAAAGCAATTGTCAATAACCATCAATGGCATACCATACGCCTCAGGTTCAGTCATTTATTCCCTAACCGTTGCACATGGTAGAAACCAAAAGGTTTCATATCCTTGGAGTAACTACAATATTTCACTTCCATAATTCCATTACATTCTTTCCACTACTTAAACATGAGATGAGACAATGTAGTATACTACTGCCAGTGTAAAATCCTCTACACTAATGTACCAAAATTAACTGTGGAAAAGTATTGTGTGCTCATGATGTATAATGCAGTCTATGCACTGGAAAATTATCTTTGATTTAGCTATGGATAAATGTCTTCACAAACAGTTGAACTAAAAGTAAATAAAATGAGTTTAGGTAAAATGAATCAAACTTCTCCCTTGAGTTAAAATCAACTTAAGTACCTCAATCTATGGAAAACTTCTGAAGATGTTGAGGTACATAAGTTAATTTTAACCTGTGAGAGATGTTTGATTCATTTTACTTTATTGGTCCGTTTTATTTTGTTTTTCCTACAGGTGTTTGTAGAGATGTTTATCCAAACTAAGCCTTAATATTTCAACTTCAAGTCTACACAAACAGCTGTTACCAAAATGTTTTTCCTATCCATCAGTGCATAAATTGAATTAATATTATGCTGTTAGGAAGTGTTTTGAGCTTTTAGAAAGAGATGAGAAAAATGGTGAGAAAAAAATGCTTTGGCGATGTTTATTGATATACAAGGAACTTGAGGAAAAGGTTCTCCTGCCAGGGCTTTCCCTTTCAACGACAGAGCAAATGCTCATTTTCTCAAATTACAACAAAACAGAAAGCTCACTTTTCTACCCTCTCCAACCATTTAAGCCAATTCCATAACTTAACGACTCTAACTGTCATACCATTCTTACTAACTCTCAACTTTTCTCTGGCCCCATCATGTGGACACAGGAATCTCCCACTGTAAAGTCAACATCACTGCTTCTAGGCATTTATGTCTATATTTTAAAGAAATTGTGAACCCTCATGCACTTTGAAGTGCCAAAGCAACAATTGCTCCATTCTGGATTATCAGATCCCGTGTCAGAATATGGCATATACATCATGTACCCATACTCTTCAATATAGTTGCTAATTTAAAGAAGCTGCACATTAGTAACATTATTCTTAACTACAGGTTTCATTTTTCCTAAGTTTCTCACTGAAAATAAATGGAACAAGACACAGCAAGAAAGGGGGAAAAGTCCACATCATCAATACAGCTTGCCCACTTTTGGATATTCCTTCAAAAATATATTTATTAACCATAAAAAAATCGTGTTTCTAAGCTTGTTTCTGGAAGAAAAATGTGCTTCTGAGGTACTTATTAATGTGGCAATCTGGAATTGACTAGGAACAATTATTTAGTTGATTACCTGGTCCACCCGAAGTACAGTGCATGCAGCATCCGCAGCATATTTAAGAGCAAAGAACCTGAACAGAAACAATAAGATGAAACTAGCCTATCAGGCAATATGAAGATAAAGTCTGATTCAACATGGTATTTCCAATCTTAGCACTTGAAAGAATAGCTCCATAATTTTTATATGACAAGGCTTTTTATAGAAATCTACATTACAATGATGAAACGCCAGTTCATTATTTACTCAAACTATGGGGTTGCCACTAGATAAAACATGCTTGTGTTAGACCAAAGCTTACTGAGTCACATGAAGATCCCAAATGCTCAAGGTTGAGACATCCTTACAAACACCTTCTTCCAAATCAATGCCAACTTTGGCATTTCCAGATGCATTTTCTGCATATAGAGAAGATATGATCTCCATTGCATTTAGCCCAGCATTCTCAGCCAAAGTTCTTGGAATCATTTCAAAACATTCAGCAAATCTTGCTATAGCATACTGATCCTACCTGCAGAGCCATTGCAAACATTTAGCCCATCACATTCTCGTGTCAAATACAAAATATGCATTGAACAAAATAGACATGGTATTGACATAACCCAATAAACTACATCAGACAGGTGATCAGAAAAGAGCCACATCCTTGAAACAGAGAAAGAGATATCCAGGATGATAATGAGTATAATAACGATGCAATAGGCATACCCGTGAACAATGCCTCGACAAAATCCATGACACTGAGATTGGTAAATGGGAGTTGGTAGGCACCTGTGATCCCATTTACTCAACTTTAAAACACCCCTCAATTACAACACTCTGATCAGAGGCCCTGGACTTCAAATTTACCACTTTTACTCCTAGCTCTAAGCTCTTCAATGTCTGCAGAGGATCTGGCTCAGCACATCCGTTCCAAACTGGCAAAATTTCTGTGACAAATTTATTAATATAATTCTTCTTGATACCCTTTATATAAAAGTATTATTAATTATAAAATAAATTTTAACTACAATTTTTTTACTATATCATTCATATCTTAATTAACATAAAATTATTTTTAATTATTTTATGTTAAAAATTATTAACTTTTAAAATAGTAAAATAAAATAAAAACAAGTAAATGCAACATTTCTTCACTTATGGGAAGAATTTTTTTATACATGTAACTCGTTTTCTTTCTATATTTTTCTTTTAAAACAAGGATGAACAATTGATATTTTTCTTTCATCTCGTTTCTACACATTTTAGTCGTTTCTATGCACTCTAAAATTTTTTTTATTATAACAGCGTAAATTTTAACACACTATTTCTTAAAGAAAAAAATCAGGGTTTCACTCGAGTGTTTTCATCACAACGTCGTTTACTTTTCCCGTAAAGAATAACACGTAACGTTTCTCCTTTCTGTTAATCCAAGGGTTAATTGGCTTTAAGGTCGATCTGTTTAAGTAAAACTTCTCGGAAAGTACTTCTTAAATAGAAAATTTGGTATATACAAAGACGAGTGAAAGAAATTTTGGCTCAAAATGATGATGATTCGTATATATATATGATTGCTAATGATTTGAAGAAGATAGATATGTTGATTTCTTAGGGACAGAAGTTGGTAGGATTGGCATAGGTATGGTCATATACAATTAATATTTTCCTATTGATAAAAGAAATATATAATAAATTATTTTAAATATGAAAATAACACATTAGATAATTAAATAGTAGTAAAACAAAAGTATATATTATTTATGTTAAAGAACATTCTCATTGAGATTTTTAAAACTCAATATGAATCCAATAATCTTTGGTCAACTTTACAAACTAACATGACCTAAACTAATCATGCTTATTTAACGAGGATTCATTATCGAAAAAATTCAAGTATCATATTTACTATATTGCTTTAACAAAGCCTTTTTCATATCAATATATATATAAAGTAAAAGAGTTGTCTTTGAATAAAAAAATCTCCTTTTTATCTAATTTATTATGTCTCATAATTCTTAATAGGTCAAATAAATCTTAGTATAATCTCTTTCTTTCTCTTTCTATTATATATATATATATATATGAGGAGAGATTCGTTAATTTTAGGAATAAGTTTACTTAAACTTATTATGTTCAATAACTCATGTTTAACATTAAATTCTAACGATTCAATTGTTAAATTTAAAATTTTTAATGCATAGATCAAATAATCTAAATTTTTTAAAAAAATTTAAAAATTATTTACTATTTCGTTTCATTAATTCAAAATAGTATATAAAATAATTTTATAATTATTTATCAATTTGAATTAATATAACTAAATATTAAATAATTTTTAAAATTTTTAAAAATTTACAAATTTTAATCTATGTATTAAGAACTTTAAATTCAATGATTAGATCCTTAAAATTTGATATAAAATATGAATTATTGAGTGGTAGACTTATTCCTGGAGTAAACAGATCCATCTTCTATAATATATATATATATATATATATATATGTAAAAATAAGTATTTATTATAATTTAAAGTGGGATGAGCATGTCCCGTGGGTAGCCCCCTCCCACGCCCTGGGGTACGGTGTCTGTCGGTCCTGATAAGTTTTTGGAAGCATTTTGTTGAAATCAAATCACCTAACAAAGTAACATATCATTATCACGTGTTTATGCAGAATACGTATTCAATGTGTCCTACTCTTTTAACCTATATGCACATTTTGGCTTTTGCTACAGCATCACTTTCTTCTGCCAAACAAAAAAAACTTCTAATCAAATTTTACAACTTCACAAGTTTTAGTATGTACTGGACATCTAAGTTCAAGCTTTTCGTGATTGTATACTTGTATATCATTATCATACAAAAAAGAGACTAGAAGAACAGCAAAAAAAAAATATAAAATAAAAAAACACTAAATCGGTGAATAATATATATAACAACAAATTAAAGTTTTATTGATATGTATCAGAAACCGTACTTGATAATGGAGCTGAATACAAATAAATACCAGTTACCACCATCAGTGCATCAAGTGACAATTGGGTAAATATTTGCTATGGGTATTTCTTTTTATTCTTAGAGATTAACGATACTAATCCCAACATAAAATTTTGTGATATTTCATTTGGTTAAAAGACCAACCCTAATTAAAAAATATAATGGGTATTATTCTAATTATAAGTATGTAGTGTCTGAAATATTGTTCATTTTGATAGTGAATTAATAAGAGAGAGTATTTATAAATTACTTTTAACCTCATTTTTAAATAATGTGAAGGAAACAAATCTTAATTGAAGTATTGTCCATTTTGACATTTGTTGGATTGTCATGATCTTATCCTTTAAAATGTGTATTGATGAATTAAGGAAAAAATATGTTTATAAATTATTCTTAATCTCGATTTCAAAGCTGAGATTTTGGGTATATTAGAACATGTGTATAAAAACATATGTGACAATTGCTAGGTATTTTTAAGGCTAAATTATGTTTTTGGTCTTGTATTTTATTTATGAGATTCATTTTAGTCCTTTGTCTTTTAAAATATTCATTTTGGTGATTTATTCTTTAAATTTGAACCAATTTGAACTTTTTAAAACAATGATTGTTTTCAATTTTGATACATGATTTTAAATCATTTTTTGACTGATTCAAGACTTGAAATTTGTCTCATTAAATTTATTTGTACGAAAACTATTAAATGCAACCGAAAATCAAATTAAAAAAATGTTATAGAAATGGTGAAAATTGCATAAACACAAGTCCAAAAGATAATTAAAAATGGCAAAAATACTAATTTGGTCCCTTATAATATTTTAAATTTTAAATTTAGTCCCACCTTAATTTTTTGTTTCAATTTGGTTCTCAATAAGTTAAATCACTGCAATGTCGGACCTTCCATCTAAATTTCTTAAACGGAATTAACTGTTGGTCATGTGGATGTCACGTAGATAAATAAGTGGCAAGGTGTCACGTAATGCATCTAAAACAGCTTGTTCTTCTAAAGCTTATACACGTTGATTTTAGTTTTTGTAAAATAATTTTAATTCTTGTAAAATAAATAGATTTTGATTTTGATTTTTATAAAATATTTTTATTTTGATTTTTATCCCTCTAAAATATAAAGTAACTATTTTTGATCTCTAAGGATAATTTTAAATAAATAATATTTATTTTTGATTTATAAAAAAAATTAGAAACTTCATACATTAACATGATATTACTAACAATTATGAGTTAAGCTTGATCAATTAACTTTTTAATAAATAAATAAATAGTTAAAAATGTTATATAATAATAGGGCTTGAAAATAATAGTTCTAGATTTTACAAGGATTAAAAACAAAGAAAATTTTTAAAGGACCAAAATTAAAACTTGTTCATTTTGTCAGAATTAAAAACATGTTTAAGCTTGTTTATTATTAGTTCCCTATATCATTGGTGGTTCAATTCGAACCATGGTTGAAATTTAATTTGGTACAACAATGTAAGAAGTTAAGTGATACAAATAACTCATGAATTTGAACTAATTCAAACTGATTTAATGAGTTTGGATTAAGTTTTTTAGTGTTTTAATCAAATTCGACTCAACTCGTTAAAACTTAACATTGTATGAGTCAAATAATGAATTTTGTAGATTCAATATGTGACCTAGTCCGACATGATCATATATACTCTATAATAATAGATAAAAGAGATACATTATCTCTCAACTTCTTTTTATCTTCATTTTTTAATAAGACTTTTTGTTCTTAAAAAAAATTTATTAAGTAAATATTTTATTATATATTTATTTCTAAAAATATTATTTTTTTATAAAAAAAATAAAGATGTCTCAATTGAGGTTTTTATTCAAATAATATTATTTAAAAAAATTACCTAAATAGTAATTATGCAAATTTATTTTCTCAACTAGTACCATTTACTGTTCACTTTCAAAACGGACAGTTCTGAAACCAGAATAAAAATAAATAATAATTAATAATAATTAATTATTTTTATTGAATTGAATACGATATGATTACAAAGCGAAGGCAATGTCCAGTTACATCCTACAACGACGTGTCAAGTTCCAGAGCCGTTGGAAGAGATTAGTTTAAGTGAAAACGAGACAGCTATTTACTGTTATCTATGAAAGCGAAAGGATGTGCATGTGTACCTAAATCCCAGCGCCAACTGCCAAGGAATAAGTCATATGCTATATGTCCTATGCCTTATTCAATTTTTGATGCCGACTCAAACCATGTCGTCTATTCATTATTACTTTTTACTCATCTCTATTATTTCTTTAATGCTCACTACCTTCACCTAATTCCATAAATTGAAGTCAACTACCATCCTTCACACATCTTATCAAGATATTTTTTTACTTAATCAGTATAAATTTTTTTATATTAGTAATCAATTAAATCTTTTAAATTATTTTTTTATTTTTATTTTATTAAATAAGTAACTGACATGACACTATTAAGAGATACGATTAATTATCAATATAAAAAAATTTTATACTAACAGTAAATAAGTGATTAACTTATATTTTATTTAGAAAGCTATTTTTTTATTCTTACATCTCATTAAGTCAATGATAGTTATAGTACTATTAGTGTAATTAATTTCTAGCTTGACATAAGGCTCGAGATTTTCATGATAGGATGAAAAACATATATATATTTCACTCAACCTAATTATATAAAAAAATTATGTGCTAATTAAAAAAAATAATTAACATGCATAATTTATTAGTTATTTTAGGATTTAGGGTAATCCCTTTTTGTCATATTTTAGCTCGGAAGAAGTGTGTATTTAGAGAGTAAAAAATATTTATATTATTATTTAATTATTATTTTTTATGTATAATTTATTAGTATAAAATATCTATTTATTTTGTCAATAACTAATCTTTAAGAAAAAAAATTGTTCAAAATATAATGACTTAACAGATCTCTATATTTACATAGTTCAATCACTATGTAACAGAAGGTATTAAACA